ACCTAAATATAATTCTTTTGAATTCCTTATTAGGTAATTCCACTAGCATTTCTTCATCTGGAAGATTCTCAGGCCCCATACTTTGGTCATTTGTTCATGGCATCTTGCCTTGTTTTTTTGTGTGATTTGGAGTTGTCTGTTGTCTCTGAGACACTGTAATGTTATTGTATTAATGTGTTGATTATATATTGTTTTGCTTCACCCTGCTTTTCTGTTTTGTTCTGTTTTAATACATTCAGGCAACAGGGCAGTCGTGTTACTCTGGTTGCTAGTTGACAGCACTGGGGCACTCACCATCAGTCTCTGGGCAGATCTGGTAGCAGGTGGGAGTGTGGGTTCATATCCCTGATCACTGATTGTGCAGAGCAGCTGAGGACAGGCTGGTCGGATGTTGGCTACCATCTGTCGTTGGTCTAGTAGTGCTGGAATGGATGGTGACACCTGCCCAGTGGGTGTGGCAGCAGGTTTGGGTGGGTATGTTTGGGTAGGGCCACTGATTCCCTACTTCTGGGGAAAGATAGAAAGGAATGAAGAAAAAAAAAAAAAAAAGGCTGTGGGAGGGGGTAGGAAAAAAAAGGTGGGGGAAGTGGGAAATCCTAAGAAAGAAAAAGAGGAAAAAGGAAAAAAAAGAAGAAAAGGAAGAAAAACAAACTACAAAAGCAAGAAACAAATGTGGCATAGTAGTAGTGCAAGTGATGGCCACCAAACACGGCTGTGTTGGCAATGTGGTACTCGCCCTGTGGGAGCATGCACCATTGAATATGCAGGGTCAGGGCAGCACTACTGAACAAAGAGGTGGTGAGAGGCAAGTACTCGCTCAGCTGGATCCAAAAAAATAAAAGGAGAAGTCCAAAAAAATAAAAGGAGAAGGAAAAGGAAAAAAATGGGGGGTGGGATAGTGGGAGAAAGAGAAAGAAGTGAAAATGAAAAAAAAAAAAAAAGGCAGGGAAGAGGAAAGGAATGAGAAGAAGGGAAGACAGAAAAAAGAGAAGAGAGAAGGAAAGAACAGGTGCAAGTGTTAGCTGCCACACACAGCTGCAGCCGAAACATGGGGTGTGCTCCCCGACTGCCCATGTTGCCTATACAGAAGGGTAGAAGTGCTGCTGGCCATGGAAGGGAGGGGCAGGAACAAAAAGAAAAGAGAAAAGAAGAAAGAGAGTGGAGAGGAAGAAAATAAAGAAGAGGAAAACCAGGGCTAAGAGGAAGACCTAAGAAGGAGGGGAGAGAAAAAAGAAAGAAAAAGCAGCATAGTACCATCAAAAGTGCCAGCCACCAAACATAGCTGTGCAGGAACACAGCCCTTGCTACTCCAAAGCACACACTTCCAACCAGGAAGTGCACTATTAACTTCATGGTCAGGGGATGAGCGGGACTCCCATTCTTGGGGAAGATGGAAGAACTAAGCGAAAAGATTTAAAAAAAAAAAAAAAAAGGGGCCTAGCACTGATAGTAGTTTGGCCTTAGGGTGTTGAAAGTGGGGAAGGCCCTGTCTCTGGTCACTGGGAGGTTGTGCAAAGTAAGTGGGGATGACACACCTCTCTGTTCACCTGATCACCAGTGTGGGTGCTGGTGCAGTCTCGGGCAAGTAGAGCTGGTTATCTGGTTCTTGTTGGGATGGAAACATAGCTTGCAATAATTCAAAACGGCCACACTGTGCCAGTTAGCAGTTTACCACTCTTTGCTCACTGTTTTGGTTCAGGCTCTTCCTCTCATCAGTATTTGATCTACTTTATCCTTTCTTATGAAGCTCTGGGATCCAGGATTGTTATCCATAGCTGTTTCCTTTGTTTTTTCAAGTCTTTGTTGTAGAAGGTTTGGATAGTGTATCTGCCTAGTCCTCCATCTTGGACCTGGACTCCCCACTAAACTTTTACCTAATTGTTTTAGTACTATTGCTAATTCTTGTATGAACTAATCATCGTTTATTACAGAGTTGCAAAAATTATAAAGAATTTGTAATTTTATCATTCTTTCTACATTCTTGTTTAAAAAACATTTCTGTTTTAAAAAACTTTTTTTTTTCATGTTCTTTTTTTCTTTTTTGAAGATCAACAAGGACTCATGGATTTTTCTTTTTTCAGAACATTGCAGTCATCTTTCTACTGTCCAAGTTATCCTGAAATTGGCTAGTGTATGCCCCTGCATTCTGGCTTCTATGTCTTTTTTATATAACTCCATTAGTCTTTGAGGGCTTCCTTGATTTATGTCTTAATACATATTCCCGAAAATCCTTCAGACTGCTTATATTTGTTCACAAATCAGAGTTCTTTTTCTCCGAGTCCAGGGCAACCATGATCACTGGGAAGTGAGAGAGATATGTACAAGCTCTACCCAAATCTTTGGCCAACACCAAACGACTCATGCTCGAGCAGGTAAGAAGCAGCCTAGGCAAGGAGAAAAGAACTCAACTTAAATCTGAGCTGCCACCCAAGAGACAGAGCTTGAGGTTAGAGTCATGGGTTAAAGGATTTCAGAAAACATTATATAATAAAACATGCTAAGTCATTTAGGTTCTATCAGTGTTATTCTGCAAAATAAAAGTCTACAAATATTATGGGGTTACCAAAAAATGTCTTCTTCTTCAAGCTAGAGAGAAGTGTGTTTATTAAGCATGCTTTGAAGGCAGATAATAAATAAAAGGTGTCTATCAGGTATCAATAAAGTGCAACAATTAATATCAACTGGAAAATGTATACCAAAGTGAGAAAATGGTTTTGATTACATACCTGAATTATTTCATAAAGGTGTACCTGAACACTCCCTAACAAAAGAGGATATTTTTGTGCAATTTCATATTCCATTAGTTCCAAGTAAACATTATTCCGCACATCCTCTTGACGTCTGGGAACCTCAACATCAAAATGTACATGAAACAAAGAGTTAAATTTGCAGCATGAATTCAGATTTAATGTCTGTGTAAATACATCCATAAACTATATTATATTGTGTGCATACCTAAGTATGTTTACTTATGTCACTAGCATTATAACTTCTCAACATCAAAATCACATAGCTCTTAACGCCAAGAACAGTCAGGAGGATCTTGTCTGTCTGTCTGATGTCAACGACGGTCTTTTGGAAACACTCATTGCCTACATTCTCTTTTTAACTCTGTACAAAAGTTCACACTCATCTCTCCACCGAAACTACATTACCAAAGGTTAAGCATCCAATATTCTTTTCAGTCTGCTTTTTTTTTTTTCAACCTTTGAAGAACATACACCATTGCCTCAACTAAAGCTTTCTTAACCTCAAACTCAGTACCACAATACTGGTATTTTGTGATCTTTAAAAATCCACACACTCTTTTGCTAATTAGAAAAAGATTCATGTCCACCACCCAAGGTGTCTTTCCATTGTGTACCTCCCCATAATTGTTATATTTGTGACTCTCTTCCCCTGAGAAATGAGGAAGAAAAGGAATTCAAGTCAATTTGTGACCAGCAGAGGAGTTAAGAGTGCAGGCTCCGTTTTTCAGCAATTTAGCACAAAGATCATTAGAACCAATCTGGCTGCTGGAAAACTAGAAATACAGAATATTTAAAACATTTTATTGAAAGCATAAAAGAGGTTGTGAACTGGTATGGAATAATCATGTAAAACTCCAAAAGGTAAACCAGATCCTGAAGTTGTGCTTGCCCTGGAGGCATTCCCCAACCACGTAAACTAGAACTGCAGTTTTTAAGGCCTGGAAGGCAAAGAAAAGACAGGCAAAGACATGTCCTCCAAACTTCCTCCCATAAATTGACGAACCCAAAAGGCTATCCATGGCCTCAGTCAACAGAGGAGACTTTCTCCCAACTCTTCCATGGGAGGCTGTGAGAAAGGCTTCCATTGCAGAGAGGGGCAAGTCTCTGAGAAGGTGGACACAAAACTGGTCCACGTGGAACTGCAGCCACACTCATATACCCTGGATGATACAAAAATCCTCAAGCCTGGGATTGAGTCTGAAGTGGTCTCAAACTGGTAATGGCCTGGGGTGAGTTTGAAGCAAACACAAATTTTCCTTACAGCTAAAACCTTCATCACGGACCTCAAAGAAATCTCAAAAATAATTTTCCAAGAAAATTAGCAGATCATTGCAGCAATTTCAGATTTCCATCCATAGCACTCACCTGCCTAGGTCTGGCTACTTTAAAAAATACCTTTTCAATTTTCACTTAATAATCAATATATTATAACACTGGTAAATAAATGTCTTTGTATATCTGAAATATTAACCAAACATGTACTGCAATTCCTCCAAAATATGTATATGTGTATGTGTGTATACATAAAGTTGTGTATGTACATATGTGTGTTTATATTTATATATATATGCATGTGTATTTATATATATATATATATTCTAGAGAGAGAGAGAGAGAATGTGTGTGGGTGCGCATGTATATCAGGAGAACACAGGAGAGGAGGAAATGGGGAGGACATGAGAAAGAAAGGGGAGAGAAGGGTAGATAGGAGGCAAAGAGTTATACATGTGTGAAAAACACTCAAGAACACAGATAGTAACATCTCAGGGAAGAAGTCCACCAAGATCATGCATTTTTGCAGTGAGCTATGTAAATAAAAAGGCCAATATAACCCATAGTATCAAAATCGAATACTGTCAAATACCAAACAAAAAGACACTGTTTTTCTTTCCAAACCACTTAAAAAAAATCTAATTAGCATAGAACATTATTAACTATAAAAATATATTCTATATAGAGAAGAGAACTTTAAACATTACCTGTACAGAAAAATATTTCACTTCATCAAACTTAATTACATGTTTTTCACTGCTTTTGGATAGCAAGGCACACATTTTTGTACATTTCACAACATTGTTGACAGTGATGCGAATGAATATATTAGTGTAGTATGATTTTAAAGAGACTGAAAATAGAGTGCTATTTAGGAAGCAAATTTTGTTGTAATTGAGCAATGACACATTATAAAATTAATCCACTAAACAACTCAGTCCAAAACCTAAGACTTAATCAAGTAGGTAGAGAAGCTAATTATAATGCACATTAAAAAACAGAAAAAAGTCTTTTAAAATAGTATTTTTGCCCATCACTGGTAAGCACAATATAGTAGGAAAAGAAAGTGATTCTTCCTTAGATCAATTATTATATTTTTATTCTCATATTTCTATAATTGTTTTGAAAAATTCTCTCTGGTGGCGTAGTGCCTAAGGCATCTGACTGCTAACCAGAAGGCTGGCGGTTCAAACTCACCAGCCACTCCTCGGAAGGGAGGTTGGGCAATCTACTTCCATAGTGATACCGCCTTGGAAACCCAAGGAGGGGTTGCTATGAGTCGAATCTGACTCGATGGCAAACACAGTAACAACAAAAAACATTTGCAATACCTAGTTGGAATTTTTGCTAAGCATAATTATGTAGAAATTTAAAAAAAATCAAAAGTGTTGAACTGAGAATATTTTATTTTTAAGCAACAAAATTTAAAGGAAAGTGTTCTACACGCTAATTCACTTCACTCTGTACTTCACTTATACTATACTGTCCTATATATTGTTTTTCTCATAGTACTTCATGCATTAAATTTTTTTTTCATGTTTAAAAGAATCATCTTCAATCCTTCTCTTTACATAGAACACTCTCTAATAGTCTCTCTATACAGAAAAGAAAAACACCCAAAAAGGCTCCATAATGAGGCTAGTTTTATGCCATAAAAAAATCTAAGAAGTATTCAGTTTATTTAAAAGCACAAATATATAAAAATCGTTTTAAAAATGGCCAAAGGAAGCACAATTATTACTTATAAATAAGTGGCATTATTATCCAAAGATTATATATCATTCCTTTAACTTATAGGGTGATTGAGATGGATTACAGATGGCTGAAAATCTTTTGTCACTCCTCACATCAAAAAGTGGCATTTATTTCCCCTGCCTTTGAATCTGAACTGGCCCTGTGACCACAGAACACAATGGAAGTGATCAGGGCCAGGACTACGATGGAGTATGAAAGGAACACACCTAGCATGTAAAATTTAAGGGGATACCAAAACTTCAGTAATCAAGATAAATAACATTTTATATAGTTTTCTAAAATAAAAATTAACCCCCTCTTCCCTCACCTCCCAGAAATAGTGAAAAAGCTCTGTGACTCTATGTAAAAGAGAAAGAGCCAAGAATTCCAGCATTCCAGCTGAATCCGGCCTTCCAGGCACGCTGGACAAGCCCCAAATACATGCCATTTTAGATATTCCAGAAGACTACCGTCCCAGCTGTAATAGAACAGAAGTACCACCAAGTCAATGTACAGATTGTTATTGGTAGGAAAACGGATAATATTTTGAGCCTCTAGGTTTTGGAGTGGTTTGTAACACAGCAACAGGTAACTGAAACAGTGATATATGATTATAGTATGGTTCAATCAAAAGAAAGGATACTCTGAGGTGCAAAATGTCTGCAGTTCTTTACATGAATAGCCAGGCAGCCAACCTAAAACAATCAACACAAAGACACAGATAATGAATATATTAAAAAGTTAACTTATCTTCCATTTCACTCTAACATAACTATATTTTTTAAAAATAAAATTCCACTTTTTTGTTGGTTTTTGTCATCAGAAATATCTAGCTATTGGAAAGCAGAAATACAAGAAGAAAAATAGGCAGGGTTTGTTCAAACTAAACAAAATTAACAAGAATACAAAGCAAAAGAATGGTTCATTATTAACTTAAATCTGACCACCACTCTTTGAATTGTTCTTATGTTACTTGAGAACTGATCAAATATAGTGTTTCAGATAAGCCAACATCCTAAAGCCACTCTATTCATTCAACAGTCATTGAACTATAACACAGCAGAAGCTATGAAATATTCATTCTCTCCTGTAAGAGATGTTTCTAAATATTAAATAAAATTGTATCTTGTATTTAATCATAAAATCAAATACAAAATAAATGCAGAAACAATTAAATACTAATATGCAATATTAACCAAATATATGACCATGTTTAGTCTTAAAAACAAAGTAAAAGGGAGGCAGTGAGAATGGAGAGTTATTGATTAATGCATAGAGTTTGGGGTGATTAAAATGTTTTGGGAATAAAGACAGTTGCATATATACAAAAAAAATAAAAATGGTAGCAATATTGTATTAAACTTTATAAAACAAAGTGCATAGCCCAACAGTATTTTTAAATGTAATGTAACTAATTTTAGAGAATTTATTTTAAAAGAATGTTAGTGGAATATGTGAAAAGGAGGCTAGCATTCAATATTTAATTAAAAGACCATGTATCTAAATCATGAAATCCTAAAGAAGAAACTACGGTGTTCTAATTCTCAGGGAACTATATAGGTACTTATTGTTATATCAAAGCAAAGTTCTAATTTTTCAGGTTCAAAGGGGGTAGTGCATATTGCTTAACCTAAAGAAAATTTGAAATGGTATTGCCATAGGGGATACCATAAATCATTGTTTATTTCTTAAAATTGGGTTGTGCATAAGCAGGGAGGTGTAGTTTCCATTCCATCTGCTTCTACAACTCTGTGTTACATAAGTCTATAAATTAACATTCTGAAATAAAATATTGACTAATGACAGATCCACCTGTCAAGTGTCTCAGCATGAAGCCATGGGCAACTAATCTTTTACATATTTCAATAGCTCTTTATACTTTTAAATAATAGATTCACATATTACAGAAGAGAGAATAGATTTCTGTTCAATATGGAAAAAGACTTGACACTCAAAAATATAATAACGACCCTTCACAGATTGCAGTTAACAAATGTTGCCTGAGATTCTGAGATGAACCCTTCCATGGCCCAAAGAAATGACCATGTCAACACTTTCACCCTCAAACACTCCCAAACGTGCAATTAATACAGGAAAGTAACCAGAAAGTTGTTCATCACAGAATTCTCCAATTTTAAGACACAGTTTTTCTACATTTTTTTTTTCTGAAAATGTGATAAAACTATCAGAAACAAAAGTAGGTTGAGATGTAGTTATCACTGTGTACATATGGACACACCAGGCAAATCCCTCAGAATAAATCACAGAACTCTCAAAGAGAAATAGTGTAACCAAATTATACATTGTGAGGTGCTATAAGTCACATGGAGCTCTGGTAGTGTAATGCCTAAGGCACTTGACCAATAACCAGAAGGCTGGCGGTTCAAACCCACCAGCCACTCCTCAGAAGGAAGGTTGGGCAATCTACTTCCCTAGTGATACCGCATCGGAAACCCAAGGAGGGGTTACTTTGAGTTGGGTCCGACTCAACAGCACATGACAACAACAACAACAACAACATAAGTCACATGCCAAACATCTCTTTTTCAAAAATTTCCAGCTGATTCTTGAAGGAAACTATTTAATGTTGACCTAAAATCAAACTCAATACCATCAAGTCGTTCTCCACTCATAGTGACACCTCCTTGGGTTTCCGAGGTGGTATGTCTATGGAAGTAGATTGCCCAATATTCCTTCCGAGGAGTGGCTGGTGGGTTTGAACCGCCAGCCTTCTGGTTAGCAGTCAAATGCCTTAGGAATTGGATGATAGTTAAAAGCATATACAGCTTTCTGGAGAACACTGCCCCAACCCTGCAAACTGTTGCCACCTAGCTGGCACCATAATGATGTCTTTAGATGGCCATTCCATCATTCTATCAAGCAAGCTCTTCAAGATGATAGGGAACTTGGTAAGACCAGTAAATCCCATGAGCATTGACCCATTGCCACACTTCATTTGCTGTGAGCCCAGTGTTCCCTGGAGATCTCCACATGTGTCGGTATCTTTCCTTGTCCTAGGAAGTTTTCAGTACAGGGACTCCAAGTTCAAAGGATACATTCTGCTCCCTCTCTTCTTTCTTGGTAGTAATATATTCCTTTCTCTCTGATAGCTTCTCTCTCTTTTTATCTACTATAAGATAAAAGGTGGTGCAGGCCACACCCCAGGGAAACTCCCTTTATATCAGGTTAGATGCATCCCACCTTAATCCTACCTCATTAACATAACAAACATAACCTAATCCTCTTTAACATAACCTAATCCTGCTTCATTAACCAAAGTCAGAGGTTAAGATTTACAGTGTATCACAAAATGGAGTATAATCACACAATACTGAGAATCATGACCTAGCCAAGTTGACACATATTTTGGGGGTACATAATTAAATCCATGATAAAGGCTTATATTCCAACTTTGACTGTAATAGAGGGAACAAAGCTTTATATAATTATACGGGAAAACATACACCATGATCATTTTGTAAAAACAAAATTTGTACATTAATAATCTTTCTTCTCACTCCTGAAAGCTAGTATTAAATTTACCATACATTTTTACAATCAAGGAAACAGACTAGTATATGACAGAAAATAACAAAGAGGAACAAGAGAAACCTATTTTATACCCATCAACTATTCTAATAGTGTTCAAATAATAAAATATAACTGTAAAAGAAGGCTACAATATTTGACAATTTTAAATGTACACAGATCAGCATGTCCTATACTCTGAAGCACCCAAAATAGAACAATAGATTTTTCTGGGTCTTACCCTATACTAGATCCTACCTGTGTGTGTGTTTGTGAATGGGGATGCATGTGTGTGATGATGAATGTGTCTTCTTCTCTTCCTGGGATTTTGTTTTGTTTCTCACAGGGTGGAGAGGTGGGAATCAATTTTCAAACTGTAGCTCAAAGGTTCCTAAATCTGACAGTGAATATAATCACTTGAAGAGCACAGTAAAAATACTGATTTCAGACCTCACACCTAAAGATCCTAATCTTAGGTGAAACTCAAGAAATCAATATTTTTGAATCAATATTTTACAAAAAGTATTGAGGTGATTCTGATTTAACTAGAGTTGTAGAATGTATAGAAAACATTATTTCTATGAATCAGGATGTTTTCTGTAATGTCAGTGATTAATACAATTTTTCTAATTCCTCAGAATAAATCACAGCAATTTCAAACAAATGGTGTGAATTAATTATGTATTGTTAGGAGCTATCAGTCACATGCCATTTTCCAAAAAATGAAAAGCTCATGCATATATTACTAAGAGGACCATTCTTTTTGATTACTAAATAATAAACATCAACTACACTTCATATAAAAAAAACTTTGTACATATTTTTTGAGGTGCTAATCATTCTTACCACATCCCCAAATGGCACCAAAGTTGGCATTTCAGGTAGTACTTCCGTTTCTTTATTCTCAGACCCTTTAAGAGTTTTTTTCAGCATCTACAACATAAATAAATGACTTCAGAAAGAAAAGAAGAACATAACTATATTAAAGGTTAATTCAATTAAACAAATATTTTATGAGTATCTAGTAAATATCAAATACTATTCTAGGTAGTGGGAAAGTAATATGATTTTAAAAAACCATCCCTACCCTTATAAATTTGTCAATAAGTTAGCAGATAAAACAAAAATATATATGATTAAATATAAAATCATTAAGGGAATCATGACAAAAAAGTACATTATAGTATGAACAAAGAGCTCTTCAGTTAAGAGATTGAACATATAGTGAGATACCTTCAAAAGTTTATAATGAGAGTCTTAAATAGAATAGGAAAAAAAAATGTAGAACAAAACTCAACTTCCTATTTAAAAAAAAAAGAAAAAAAGGCCAAACCTACTAGACCAATAGAGACTAGAGAACACCCAAAACTGTCACCCTAAAATACCCTATACACTTGGAATTGAAGCTATTTCTGCAGGTCATCTTTCAGTCAAATATAAGATTGGTTTATACAATAAATAGTATCACCCATGAATAATGTGCTGCCTTAAACAATTAACTATATAAGATCAAACCCCTCAACAGTTACCCAAAACCGAAGGTAGAAGGCAAGGAGGGGAAGGGAAGCTTATCAAGGGAACCAGAATAAGCAGAATGGAAATAATGAGAATGCTGACACATTGCAAAAATTATAACCAATGTTATGGGACAATTTGTATAAAAATTGTTCAATGGGAACCTAATTTGCTGTGTGAACTTTCACCAAAAACACAATATAAAATATTACGTAAAAAAAAAAAAAATTATAAGGAGAGAGTTCCAATTGGCCTTAGTTTGGGAGCCACCTTGAATGAAATCTCTCCTCAAAATAAATAAATAAATAAAGTCAACAAGGAGTACAAATAAAATATGATCCACGCCTCTGGCATTACTAGGAGAGGGAACATTACAGATTTCAAAATCCTCTAAGTGGAGAAATAAAAAAAAAAATTCAACAGAGTTGTCACCGAAGTGCCTGTCACCATTACAAACCTATGGGAACAGAAAGCAAGAAAAAAAGAAGTCTTAACAGACTCTGTGGAGAAGAGTCAAGAGGAGCAGAGAATACAAGGAAGCATGGACAAAATCATCCCAAGAGAGTTCAACTTTGTCTTGATTCCTTAGTGCTGCTATAATAGAAGTATCACAAGTAGATGGCTTTAAACCAAAATTTACTTCCTCAAATTTTTGGAAGCTAGAAATCTGAATTCAGGACACCAACTCTAGAAAGAAAAAGCTCTCTGTGTTGGTGTTGGGGAAAAATCCTTCTTTCATCTTCTAGAGCCTCAACTTTCTTCAGTTCCATGACAATCTCCACATGGCATCTATCTTTCCCCTATTTGTGCTTGCTTGTGTCCATGTCTACTCTGTTCTTTATATCATTCAGAAGTGATTAGGTTTAGGACATGCCCACACTGATATAATGTCATTAACATAACAAAACCTTATTCTCAAATGGGATTACATCCACAGTTTTAAAAAACCAAGACTAAACTCCCTGCTGTTGAGTTGATTCCAATTCATAGTGAACCCTTCTGGGTTTCCAAGGCAGTAAATCATTACAAAAGTAGAGTGCCTGTATAGTATTAGATTCAGTGAAGGAAAAGAAAGAGAGCAGGCTAAACAACTGGGGGGGAAATGGCAGGCCTGCCCAGCTGGCAGAAAATAAACAAGACCTAGAGCAGGAGACAGAGCAGAGGAGAAAGAAAGAAAAGAAAAAACAAAAAAACACCATGGAACCCACAGGCGCCAGGGATTCAGAATAGCCTCACTGGGTGTTTTGCGAGGTGAGCTGGGACTTTGTGGGGGAGCAAAGATCTTGTGGGCAAACAGATCAAGACCCACCTACACACACACCTTGACTTGAGCTGCCAACAAGTCCACAGTGGAGGGGGAGAGGGAGAAGTGCCTTCTGAGCTGACAGAGCCCTGGAACAGGTGCAAACCAGTGAGCTTCGGCTCATCTCCCAGAAAATCTTTGTGATCTGGATTGAATCTGTACACTCGGTTTCTGCTGCTAGTTGGTCCACCTGGAGAGAGGTGGAACTTTCTTTCCTTCTGGACTACTTCTGGATTGGAATCTCCCAGGCACCATCCTCAGCAGAGGCCCCCAAAAGAAGCCTAGCTACCCTGCCCATGCCTGCAGTACTAACTGATTTTTCTTGCCCCAAGCAGAAAACTTCTTTCAGCCTTTCTATCCTGGCATGCCCTTCTGACATTGTTTGTTTGTTTTTCCTTTTCTCTTTTCCCTTTTCTCCCTACCTTGTGCAACAGGCACTAGGCAACCTCCACTAGGCAACCCTAACTACTACAGATGGTAGACAATACCTGTTCATCCTAACATCAAAGCCTATTCACAATGAACAGAGACCTGCATCCACAGCCCTACCAGTGATTGCACCAACACAGACAGTGCTGGAGAGTGATCCAGTAAAGCTGAGTCAATAACCAAAGAAGCTCACCTGCTATACCCTCCCGGATATAGTAAAACACAAAACCAGTGTGAAACAAATCAATACATAGCTAACAATTAAAGACAACAACTTCAAAATGTCTAGGAAATAACAGACAACCTCAAAAAAAGGACAAGATAACAGGAACAAAAGTCCAGAGTAAAGAATTATGTGTCTTAGAGGAAAAACAAGCAATAGAACTATCTAAGAAAGAAGTCCAAAGGTATATACATATAGAAGCCTCCAAGAGCTCACAGAAACCATAAACAGAAACAGAGAGAAGACAGATGGTACCCTGGAAGAATTCAGAAAAATCATTCAAGAACAAAGTAATAAGATATATACTCAATTAGAATGCATACAAAAACAACAATTAGAAATACAGAATATGAACACTAAAATTACAGAGATAAATAACATGGTGGAAGGACAAAATAATAGACTAGAACTAGGTGAAGAATGCATTTTCCAGCTAGAAGACAGATCCCTTGATGCCTGCCTGTATGAAGAAAAATCCAAACAAAGATTGAAAATAAATGAAGAGAACCTAAGAGTTATATGGGACAACATGAAAAGAAACAATATATGCCTGATTGGAATACCAGAACAAGAGGAGGCAAAAAAAAAAAAAAAAAAAATCACTGAGAAATTTGTCGAAGACTTGCTGACAGAAAGTTTCCTCCATCTCATGAAGGAAGAAAAGATATCTGTCCAAGAAGCTCAACGAACCCCAAACAGGATAGACCCCAAGAGAAAGTCACCAAGACATATCATAATTAAACTTTCCAAAACCAAAGAAAAAGAAAGCAGCAGCGTGGGAAAAAATGAAATGTCACCTACAATGGACAACCAATAAGACTAAGCTCTGATTTCTCAGCAGAAAGCATGCAGGCAAGAAGACAGAGGGATGGCATATATGAAACCTTGAAGAAGAAAAACTTCCAACCAAGAATACTTATCCAGCCAAACTGTCCCTCAAATATGAAGGTGAAATCAAGACATTCTCAAACAGAAGTTAAGGGAGTTTGTCAAAGAGAGACTAACCCTACAAGAAATGCTAAAGGGAGTCCTTCCAATAGAGGACCCACAACAGAGAACAACAAATTAAAAACAAGATACGGGACACCACTACCTAGAAACCAAGTCAGAAAAAGATTCTCAAAATAAGCTCATAAGAAATGTACATAGAGAAATAAAGGAGTCAATGGGCTGATGATACCAACAACAAAGCAAATAGAAGGAACAAAAGTTTTAATTACAAAACTTCCAAATGGAGAGGAAGACAGGACTGTATCTTTATAGAACAGACTGTTTCAAATTTAGGGAGATGAGAATTATTTCAGGGTAACCACAAAGATAATTAACAATCCTCCTAAGCAGGAAAAAGGAAAAACATAAGGATTAGTAAGCACAAACCCAGCAATGATGAAGAAACAAGAAAAAACACTTGATAACAAAATGAACTCAGCGCAGAAAAATAATTGGAACAAGAAATGCACTAACAACACAACAAAAAGCGCAATAGAATGACAGCAGTAAATTCATACCTATCACTAATTATACTCAGTGAGAATGGACTAAATGCACCAGTCAAAATAAAGAAGTGGCAGATTGGATAAGAAAAGAAGACCCATAGATATGCTGCCTACAAAAGACCCACTTTAGATACAAAGATAAAAATATATTAAAAATTAAAGGGTGGAAAAAAATACACCAAGCTAATGGCAACCAAAAAAGAGTAGGAGTGGCAATACTAATTTCCAATAAAGCAGACTTTAAGGTGAAAAACAGCATAAGGGACAAAGTAGTACACTGTATGATGCTAAAAGGGTCGACTGACCAAGAGGACATTACCATAATAAATATCTATGCACCCAAAGAAAAAGTTCCAAAATACATAAAGCAAATATTAACTGAATTGAAAGAAAAAATAGAAAACTGCCATCAGGCCAGATCTGACTTATAGCAACCCCTCCTTGGGTTTCCAAGGTGGTATCACTATGGAAGTAGATTGCCCAACCTTCCTTCTGAGGAGTGGCTGGTGGGTTTGAACTGCCAGCCTTCTGGTTAGCAGTCAAATGCCTAAGGCACTATGCCACCACAGCTCCCCTACTATAGCACTGGTAGTAGTAGTAGTAGTTGTTGTTGTTATGTTCTGTCAAGTCAGACCAAGCTCATAGTGACCCATCCTTGGGTTTCTGAGGCCACATCACTACAGAAGTAGATTGCCCAACCTTCCTTCTGAGGAGTGGCTGGTGGGTTTGAACTGCCAGCCTTCTGGTTAGCAGTCAAGTGCCTTAGGCACTATGCTAGAGACTTTAATACACCACTTTCAAAGAGGGACAGAACAACTGGAAAAAAGCTCAACAAAGATACAGAAAAACTCAACCACAATCAACCAACATGACCTCAGAGACATATACAGAGCACTCCACCCAACATAAACACAATACACATTTTTCTCCAATGTACATGTATCATTCTCCAGAACAGACCTTAAGT